AAAACATTGTTTTTTTTCTTTCCTTCTTTTGGACTTTTAAAGTTTTATCGATTAAATTAAAATAGCAGATTGAGTAAAAAATTCTATTAACCATGGTACGAATTTAAATCTGGAGTCTGGTTGCCTAAAATGAGGATTGTTGAACGTTATATATTAATGATTACGTGATTTCTGCAGTTAACCGAAAAATTTGAAGCATTGCCAAAAGGTCTGATTTCCACAAACCATCTGTCCGAGGTTTTTCTGCAATGGACGTGTCATCGCTTCGTAGAGTATTGAAACATATCTGTTGACGACAGGATTAAATAGCGGTAACGAATCCGAGATACAACGAGGGGTTTCGTTTGTAGTGTATACTTGTGCGAGCGTCAGTTTAAAATTTAAATATTCACAAAGCCATAATGTGTTCCTGACAGTTTTTGCACTGCTTAATGCGAAAATATAGTAACGGATTAGTCATTCGTGTCTACCAATATAGAACCTCTCTCGCAATATCCTCGAACGTTCGTTAATTAAGAGACAGCCAAAAATGAAGCAATTTTATCCGGTAACTCGGCTCTCAAACGGAATTCGCGATGAGCGCTCCGAAGCGATTTTCCTCTGTTCTGGTGAAAAATTCTCGGGTGTCGGTTCACGGTTCGTTTAACAGATTCCACGCCTATTTCGCGGCTCTCGATAAATTCAGGAATCAGTCGGAGGATTTGATGCCGGACCCCTTGCAAACAGACGGAGTCTCTCTCGCGGTGGGTGACTGCGAGTATTCTTCTTTCATTAAATCCCGAACAATTCACGGCGGTCGCTTTGTTTAAAGCACAATGAGACCATAGATGCGGCGCAGTCAGGGGGCGTGGAAACACGACACGGTCGAAGATCGAGTTGGCTTCGATCTTAAGAACTGGGAGATTCCTTTCGTCGCGCGTTGAAATCTTGGAAGCTCCCGGAAAGCAGCGATAAGGACGGAAGTCGGAGACAATGCTACCTCAAATCGAAAATCCGATCTCAAGAGCCGCAAGAAACGTAGTCGCCGCTTGAAATTGTGCTATGATGATCTTGCCATATTAATTTATGGTATGATGCATTGCGCTTTAGCATTAATTAGTTATTACGGAAAAATATCGTATCTTTTACTTCAGAGCTAATCATCAAGTAATTAGATAACGCGTTATAAATACTTTAAAAGTTAAATTTTTCTTTAATTTTATTTCCCTTAAATACTTTTTACAAGAGAAGGAAAATATTAATTTTGCTTCAGATTATAACTTTGCAAGGGAATTGTTCGACTCGTGTATAAGCACTAGTTACTATTATTATATTAGTTGATATTGAACTCCTTGCTCATCTACCTTGGATCAAAGAGATCTGCAAAGGATACTAAGGAGGTATTGTACGCAGTAGGTCACAGTCCAGGCTCTTGGTAACTATATCACTCGCTATTGCAACCCTCGACAACGCCAAGGTCTCCCTTTGAGCCCTCCAAGTTTCCTCATGAATTCTCGAAGTACTTGCTACGGCGAAGACCATCGAGAAGCGATATATCGTGACATAGCAGCTCGTAGCACGCAGCTGAGCCTCTGGCCGGCACCGCCGCTCGGCGGAGCGGATAATACGGTTTTAATGAACTGTTTTCCATAATGCAAGTAAAGCATTATCAGGTCGTTGAGTGTATAGTATAGTCGTATACCGTCGGATAGTGGAAGCTGTTAACCTTAACGCTCAGAGATCCTTGTATCCCGAGGGCCGCTTTATAAATTCCGCTATCCTATCTAATAAAGACAAAAAAAACGAAAATTATATGCGAAAGGTACGGCTGTATCTATGTAGAAAAATTCGAAGAGAATGGCTAAAGGAATGGCCTCGTGAGAAAATAATAAGTATGGAGAGTTAAAAATAAAAATGAGACAAATCAATTCATTAATAAATGATACAAAGTTTGTCTATACGATTTATATTCTTTATAATTAAATATAGAGAAGATTAAAATAAAATTTAGAAAATTGAATATATACAAGAACGAAAATGTGCGACGCTTGTATCTGGTTTCCCAATTACTCGATTGTTATTTTACCTTCATTTTATTCTTATTTCTCATATTTTTACTCGTAAAATTTCGTCGCGAGCAAAGAAAATAGCACATGTAAATTTGAACAACCAGTCCACCGTATTGGATGCGGGGCCGAAAACAGAACGTCAGAAGCAGGAAGGCGAGATCAAAAAATGAAAAACGACTCGATTATTTTGAATTCCGGACAAATGGCGGTTAATACGGGAATTATGACTATCGTGAAATAAAATCGATAAATAGTCGATCAATTTCGAATTGTGATTCTTTAATGTCATGTCTGTGATGCGCATTGGAAGTACGCTGGAATCGCGGCGAATCGATATTTCGATAATGCATCAACGGGACTAACCGATTTCCGTTAGTTACTTTGCTTGTCGAGGACGGCATGAAACATTACGCATGATGGAAACGTACAACTGGGGAAGGGAATGGAGAACAAAAGTACTGGACAGTGTCAATGATGCATTAATCATGAGTGGAATATGTCGTGAGATATCGAGAATGAGATGGGAAACGGGGCGCGGATTAATTGATCGCGGGTCAGATCAGCGGCTTTTGCTATTTCAATGTGCATCTTTAAAGGTAATTCAATTAAAATATAAATTGATATCCCAATGAAGCAGGTACGCGATAAACACGCTTTCGCTTCTGACGCTTCTCTCAAGTTGAATTTAATCTACTTTATTACAGAAATAGCAAAAGTAAGAATATCTTTTTCTAATATAGGTCAAATGTTCTTAGTAATGCGCGAAAATAGAGAAAAAGATTTATATACTATTTAACATTCGCGTTGTTGTATGTATTATTAATAAAGCAGGAATAAATATAATAACATTTCCGAAATTAATGCTATTTCTGCAGTATATCATTGCACAGATTTTAAATATGCAGAAATTAATAAATTATATATATAACCGCGTTATGTTGAAATACTTTAGCTTATTTGCAAATTTTGATTAATCAAAAGTATTAATGGGCTTCATAATGTGAATGTTTCCAACAAAATAATATTGAGAGAGTTTTACTTGCATATATATATATATATATATATATATATATATATATATATATACATATACATATATATATATATACATACATACATACATATACATATGCCCCAAAAAGAATAAAGTGAATTAAATGGTTGCTTTGCGGATAAACTCGACGTTTCCGCACGTATCCGAGACACAAATATGAAACAAATATAAACTAATGATATATTGTGCGGATATTTGCACAAAAGAATAAACTACTCGCCAACAATTTATAATAGTTGATTAAAACGCATCAAACAATTCCCTTAAAACTCGAATAGTTTCGTCAATTTTATACGACCATGATAAATTGAAATATTCACAAAGGATATCGACAGAATATCGCGCAGAAACAGGACGATAAAGATGACTGTAAACGCACTGTTTCTGATGGCACTCGCGTTTTCCAGTTTACTTGTGCTCAGATATCACGTTATCGTCGATACTGGCATCCCGCCAGTACCCTCTGCCCTTCTCCTTCCCCTCTCCCTCACCAACCCCGTTCATTTCCCTCCGAATGCGTTTATTCAATGGCAACAGCAAAGTGCCGTTGATTGTAACCACTTACGCTACACGGACAAACCATCATGCGATAGATCAAACTCTCTCTCAATCTTCGAACCAGCACGATATGTATCTTTTATTGACGTTTGACGTGGCTAGCTAAAGTTAAGATCAATGGACTCGCGTCAATTTAATACGATCTTACTGTAGAGCACAAATTTCAATCGGAGTGCAACGTGTCGATATATCGCTTTTTATCTGGATTAAATTTTTAAATTGAATTTCGCGTGAGTGTAGAAATCTCGACCGAATCTAGGATACGAATCTAAGTCGAATCGATTTTCCCACCACGCGTGTACCCCATACCATGTACTCTTTCCGTTTGTAAGGCGATGGTTGACGGAAACTAAACTTATTTCGCACGCTTCACCGTTGAATTCCACTCGACTTTTGTTGCAAAAAGTCGTAACTATCGCGTGCGTTTTAATGCGCAACCAATAGATTGCGTCAACCTCTATGACGATACGACAATACTATCGTCATCGACTATAAACGCTCTTTAAATATTACGGACACCGCACACCGATGAGGTGTGCCGATTTCAGGGCGGCTTTACATTCAACCCTGTTTGAAAGAATATCATATGTATATCATATGTACGTTCTCACGACCTTTCTAACGCCGGCCGATCGCATAAAGCGCGATAACATTGCAAAGCGCACCTTTGAAGTCGAGCAACTGGCGTCATGGACTTTAGAAGAAACGTTTATCCGAGAAAAGAGAGCAAGAAAGTGATAGAATCGTTCTGATGACGTCACGACAGATCGAGAACCCCTCGCTCGCAAGACAGCGCGTGACGCAAACGTTCATCCCTCCTCGCAAGTCAAACACCTATGACGTCTGACAGTCAGGGGTCTATAGCCTGCCGCGGCTGCACATGAATCATAGAGTCTGTAATAGCGCGTAATTATTCAAACGGAGAGGATACACCGACATTAAGATTGCTCTATCGATCGCGATAGGAACGGCCGAGGGTTGCGATAACATCGCTTCGTACGTATCGCGTTGTACGATTCTTTTTCTCATTGCTCGTTGATTAAACGTCATGAATCGCGAATTTCGTGTCTCTATCTCTGAAAGTATCCAAAATTAATTGTTTGCAAGTCTGAAGTCTTGTTGTTCTGGAATCTTGCGCTCCAACATTAAACTTACCTGGTTTCTGGAATCCTTTATCCGTCCAAACGTCGTATTATTTGAAGACTCGATTAAATAAGCTTATTAATAACATGTTTTTTTCGATGGAAAAAATCTCCATCGTCTCTCTTTATACCTGAAAAGTCTTGCACGTATTTATAGGACTTGAGGATGTGGATTCAAATGAACAATATACGAATCAATCATTTATTAAAGCAAAACTTTATTATAGCAATAGTGAACAATGGATAACTATTAAAGATTTTTAACATGTTTTTTTGATAAAAATAGCGATTGGATGTTTAGGTAATAGGTGAATATCTAAAAGGGTCTCTTATCGTACGAAATTCTTTGAACTAAAAATTATCTACGGTCGTGTTATTAACGATGATAATCGCACATACGTGTCGATAAGTCTGAATTTTTAGGCGGTGCGTACCGTGAATCGATCGATCATATAATCGGGGCGTATATCTGTATATTAAATTGCAGATTAAACATTGACGTTAATATAATCGCTTTCATTTCGACCTCAAATATTTACAATATTTCAGGCCAAATATTACAAATATTTCCGAAACACACTCCCTTACAATAAATAATAAAAAAATTTGATTTTTTTTACACGAAGATGAGGGTGATTTCTCGAGTGTTAATCGCAATTTTTCGAAAAATTATGCTTCGCACAGCATAAAAAAAAATGTATCTTCATTCTCGACAGACGCAAGATGTGCGTGACATATGCGTGGCCGAATTAATTTAATCGATAAACATATCGCCTGATGCGAACAAACACAACACGTTTAGCAGAGGCGCTTCGAGGAAGATCGATATTCACGAGTACGTTCCATAAACAAAACTGCCGATGCGCCGATGCACGCTCTTACGGCGGCTTTACCTCGAGCGATGCGAAGGATCCGTCCCTTACCGTGCGGTACTAAATTGAATTCCCGTAAGCGGCATATCGGCTTCTACGAGCTTGGAAACGACTCACGGCGCGCTACCGCCCGTCCCTAATTTCCACCCTTGATCGCTCTGCTGTCGACAGGAACGAGCAGAATGCAAAAAAGAAGCGAACCGAAAAGACGGAGAAAAATACGGCGATGATGAAGGATGAGTTTTTCCACGATACGAACGGACTATTAATCTCGCGCGCGCGCGCGCGAGCGAGTTTGCTCCAATTTTCTGTTTTAAGGCAAGATATATCGTAAAAAAGGAGGGGGGAGCGAATTAAAAAAACGATCGTGGGAGAAAAACGGTGCCGATGACACGAGAGCGGAAAGAAAGGCGGGAGAAATTTAAGAGGAAATCGGTCAAACAGATCACATTTTCTCGTTCTTCCGCTAATCTTCGCGGTAAAAAAAAAAAGTGAAGAGAGTACACAGCGAATCTCCTTCCCCGTTCCATATCTCACCCCCTCCTGAGAAATAAATCTACGTTTCCAAAACCACTCGCGAAACCTAAGACAGTCGTCGGCTAGTCCTAGTGATATATCTTAATAAATCGTTATCGGCTATCCTTCACTTCCCTCTCTCTCTCTCTCTCTCTCTCTCTCTCTCTCTCTCTCTCTCTCTCTCTCTCTCTCTCTCTTTCTGTCTTTCCCTCTGCATCGTAATAGTATGTCTCGTCGTAACTAATTATTCAGTTAGGGCGTCTCTTCCTTTCCCGCCCCCCAACCCCTTCCCGTACGCGAGTAACTATCATGTTGCGTTATTCAAAATTGTCTCGCATCGCATACATTAAACCGAGCTATAATCTATCTCGCCTTCGCGGTCGACGTTGCGGGATAATCGACTGGGATTTCGTAGACGCGATGTCTCCGATGTTTCTTCTTTTCTTTTCTTTTTTTTTTTTTTCATTAAAAATGAGTTTCGAGCTCGTATCTCCGCAAACAGCGACAGAATTTGCTCCGATGATCACCGGGTAGGCTTTTCTCGCCAAAATCGATCGTTCCGCTCGCGATATCCCGCCGCATCAATCGCATCCACGCGCAACATACAGTAATCTTACAAATAATATATCTAACAACTTTAGATTCAACTTAGATTGCTTTCCGTGATCACGCCTACTCCAACCCGAAGGGCGCCCTCGTGCACTCGCGTCGGACACTCGGCTCTCTCGCGTCTAGCGAAAAGGAAAAGGAGACCGTTTCTCGTTTCAGGATCGATACCGATTTCTCTTTGCGTTACTATAAACACGCGGTTGACATGACGTGGCCAGTAAGGACTGCACGAGGGCGTTCTTAGCCAAAGTTCGTGTACTTTACTATTCTATCGTAATATTAAGTTTGCTTTTACTCTTTTTATAACTTTCTTTAGATACACGATAGGTAAGTTATTATTCTTTACGTATCAATCCTTGACACATCATGCGATCACACACGCACACACCCACGCACGCACGCGCATACGCATATCCATCCAAACACTCTCTCGACCGCTTCTCTTCTCCAGGCGCGTCTGCGATCCGATACGATCCGGGACGTCGATTGATGGCTGGAGAAATTTGTTTGAGGATGATTTGTAGGTACGTGTGGGACCGAGCGGATCGACGAGGAGCATTCCCGCTAAAAAAGCGCGGAGACTGCGCGCGGAAATTCCGCGAGTGAGATCCTCGTGGATCCGCGCGACGTCGCGGCCAGCCGGTCTCTCGATTTCGTTCTTAACGTGCGTTTAGCCTTAATCCTTACATACGTAATACTATTCAATACTTGTTGAAGCTCATAATAAGTACATACTCGAGGATTAGATTACCGATTATTGTGTTACTCTTACATCTCTCCAAAGTCTAGGTGTACTCCGTTATTCCAATCTCTAAAGTCTCCTCTACGAGGGGTTTTTATCTCTCAGTCGGAGACCCCTCTCGCGTATCATAGGTTGAGCCTTATAGGTACAAAAAGTATGTAAATCGTCGACTGCGACAATTTCTGTACAGAAGTTAATAACAGTCTCCAGGCTCGATCGCTTTTCGCGCTGATGCATTATATCGAGGATACTGCGTGAATACTACGATAACAAAAATGTATCTATGTACAAACGCAATGATAAGGGAGAAACTATCACCGATGCTTCAGAGAATCGAAAATCTGTGTACAGAGAGAGGCGTCATGGCCTCCCCTACAATTTATTATATAGCCTACGTGTGTATATATATATGTATATGATGATTATGGCTGGCTGGGTGCTCTCTCTCGATACGTCGATCGTTTGACAAACCGCGCCAAATGAGAGAATGACCGATAGACGTTTGTTGTCGCGTTGACTGCAAAATGTATGTCGATCTCCGAGGAAAAGTCGGACGGACGCTAACACGAACGCTAATTCCACTACGGTGTGTTGTAAGTCTGTATCATGCATGCTTTTCATGGACGATTACTAAACGAGGACGTATATATGCATTTATGGCGGCGTTGAAATTAGCGGTGAAACGCGACAAATAAATTTTCCGTCGGTTTTGCGCGTGTATCGAGATTCGAAGAATATTTACTTGTTCGGAAACGTTGTTCTTTTTTTTCGCGGTCAGTCCACTTGAGAGATTGAGTGCGAATACTAATTAAAAACATGTTACTTTTCACAATGAGTCTTTCTCGGCAAGATTATTTTTTTATAAAAATATAACGTTGTTATATCTATATACACAGAGAATTACAAAGTCAAAAACGCACTCTCGTATCCGTGTCAGTTCGGAATGTTTCCGAACGTTGTGAGAAATAAGAGCGTTAACGCGAAATCTAGCGACGATAAAATAAGGGAAATAGAATAATACGTAATAAAAATACTGAGATCCCAATATTGAGACGAATCAAGTGTAAGCTAAAAGATCCCAGATGTGTGATTTTGGGAAGCAAATTTCATGGACGCCACGCCACGAGCTCGATTCAGTCAGCAATCTACCTGCGTAGTTAAATTAAAAACACGTTGGAAACGCAATGCCGACTCGACATGCCAGCTCGCTCTCGCGGCGTCGAGTCCGGAAGTCGCGTCGAAACGATCGCTCGCCTCGATGTGTGCCCCAACGTTTACTTCTTAGTGGGCAGTTGTTAGTGCCGCCGATACCGCTGCGGGATGCAACGAGAGATCCGTGGCCGTGTTGATCGAAAACTAATAAGCAAACATGTATATTCTACGCTATTATTAGACTTACCTAAGGAAAGTGTGTACACGTGATTTTTGGAATCAGATATACTATGTACAGTGCACCGGCGCGTACAACACTAGGGTCGCTCGTCAGGTGCGTGACACGTTTCTCGTACGCGCGCGCGCGTCCATCGGGGGAAAGAATCGGATGAAAGGAGACGGGAAATGTACGTTTGAGTCCGAGACCGCAAGGCTTACCGGTTTTTTTTTCCGCGGAAAAAAAGGGTAGATCCGCGTAACACCTTGATCGAAGGAGGAGAATTCTCGACGATGACGACGCGCGGGAGAGACACTCCGGGGCGATTTCTTGCCAATCGGAGCACGACGATTTTCAAGTTTCTGCCGACACACGACACGCGTGCTCTTATCGACAAAATGTACACGCGCGTGTAAAAGTGCGGTGTCATCGCGCGATCGTTTCGCCGTGTCTCTCGGTACGCGCGGGTACCCGAAGAATAATGATGATGATCGAAACGGCGCACGAAAGTTCCGGCAAACAAAAGATAACCCAAGGCGGGAGCTCGCGCGATCGTCGAGACGCGATAGGGGAGAAAAAAAGGATATGTAAGGAGAGGGTCGGGGTGTATTGAGAGGGGGCAGGCGGGGTGTGCGAGAGTAGAAAATAGGCGTGTGCGCGCCGCAAAAGTGGCGAACGTGATATGGAAAGCTAACCAGCGTCGCGCGAGTACAGAGCGCAGCTCGCACGAAGGTCTCTCTAAAGGTCGATAATAATCTCATATGTAACCTGCGTGACGTCGTAAACGCGCCGTTGGCCACGTTTTCGTTTTTCTCTCTCGACACGACGTTTCACGTCTTCTCGAGCCGTAACGGCCGTTGTTCTATCGATGCTCTCTCTCGTCGTCAGAGAATTATACTTTCCTTCCGTGTCCTTTCTCTCTCTCTTTGTCTTGCTCTTTCTCTTCGGCCGTTTCTATCACAGATGCGAAAAACTGCGGGAGAAGACGCTTTCCATTCTTGAACGCACCGCTTAATCTCGACGATTTTATTGATAATCGATATCTCATTACGGTGATATCGCGATCAACATGGTATCTATCGAGAGGCTCCGATATCGTATGTACACAATTCCTCGTAGTCTCGCAAATCAATGAAAAATCTGAAGAGATGAAAGTGCGTTTCTCCGCAACAGCTTCCACACCGACCAGTCTCCATCACGGAATTTTATCCGCGATGCCATCCGTCCATTCCGAAGAACCACTCTTCCGCGAATGCGCATCCATATTGAAATTTACGAGCCGAGAATCGTCTCACTTTTTCGGCGGCATTCCTCGCGGTATTACCTCGTCATCGCCGAGAACACACTCGCTGCGTCAGCGTCCGATCTCTCTTTCTTTCGCGCGACTCGTGCGCGACACGTCTATTTACAGCGTTAAGCGAGTACAAAAAAACATACGTAACGGAAAGCGGGATGCGCGGCCAGAACGAAACTGGAATATAGTATCTCTGATATCTTCTGACCGCCAATGAAGTCGTCGACGATCACTCGCGATCGGCAGCGCGACGAGAAGCAATCTCGGGCACAGTGGCACAAGTAATAGTATCAATATGCACGATCGATCGCGCGTACGTTTCTCGCACTCACCAGATTTCAGTCCTTTCATCGCACAGTTCACGAATCCGCGTTCACGATCGGTCTCAATCGCTCGAGAGACCTCGGGTGACCAACGAGCCGAGCGCGGTAACGTGACCGGCCAGCAAGAAGGTCAGACTCGTCCAGCCGGTCGTGGTCCAGCCGCGATTCTTCGGCGGGACGCTTATGCGTATCATGGCGTCATCGTGATCTCGGCTCGACGAGGGACCCAACGATCGGCTCCATCAGACGAGGGGCGTGCCGTACACCTCATTCGTGTGTACATTCTGATTGCTGTCGTTTTGCCTCGAGGCGCATTGCTGTAACAGAAAGCGCGTACGATGCTGTGAAAGGAAATGCGTCATCGAAACTACACGTCGACGATCTAATTGGTCGCTAATCAGCTGATCGCGCAACATATTTCTACACAAAAAACTATTATTCCATGATGTTGGGCAAATGTTGGAAAATGAACATCTTGATACGGGAGTGTGCGAATATTTACAAAATGGAACGAATTGGACATTTGCTGATAATTTCGCCGTGTAAATTAAATTGATTTCGATAACGCGTAAGAATTGTCATTGCATAATGCGTACAATAGTATAAACGATTTTGAACGATCGCGAAATAATTTCCATTTGCCGCTATCAACCGTGCAATTAAATTTATCGATATACATTATCGATTTATGGATATGCGCCCCCCCATAGGGTATTTTCTCACAATAAACTCTCTCTACCTCGCGTCGCGCAATTTTGATGATAAATATTTAATTTCCGCTTTCCCATACCAATATATATAAAGATAACTATATATATATATATATATATATATATATATATATATATATATATATATCAAGAAAGAGAGAGAGATTTCTCTGAATTGTATGTCGCTTTGCAATGCAAATTTCGAATGGTTTAATAATGATTTGTGACAATTCTATCTGGCAAACGGTGACGATAATATCTGAGATACGGCAGTTATTTCGCTCGCATTTAAAAATGTTTCCGGTTTCCGAGAAAGATCATATCGGTGCGATAAATAATCTGAGCGGAGGAAGAAAAAATGTGAATCGACTTACCGCTTGCTTTCTTTCCCAGCTCTTCATCGCCGACTTGTACTTTTCAAATTCGTGACACCAGTCCGAATAGATCTTCTGGTAGTCGTTGGACTTGGCGGGGGCGGAACACCTGTGCGCGTCCACGGTGATGTTGTACGAGCACAGAAGAGCACCGCCGAGCCAGCAATCGTATCTCCCGGCGTCCTGCTCGTTCACGCCGACGATCACCAGACCCTTCTCCGAAGTCTCGATGAACTTGTCGCCGCCGGCGCCGTACTTGTACGCGATCTGATATCTGCCCTTCTCTTTACTATAATGGTACCACCGTACCTCTTGATTCGCTAGTACTTCCGGCATTTTTACGAAACATCCCAGATGCACCGACTGACCCCACGTGACGACCAACTTCCGTTTGCCGACGCTGCTGTCGCAAACGTCGGCTGTGCTGTTTGACACATCCTGAAGAAGCCTACGCGAGAAAAGGCAACAGTCACGCTGCAATTCTTTCGCAAACGTGTAATCTCGAATATTTATTTATACAGTTTTCCTGTAATTTTATTTTGAAATATTTCGCGAAATTGAATTTTGATTCGCTAGCTGCAAAATCTCTTTTTTTTTTTTTTTATTTTTATTTTTTGCCGTAAAAAGTATTTCATTTCACCGAGAGAAATGAATTTGTGGTAATCGAAATATACGATGCGTATAAAACCGGCGCGAATATTTCCGTTTCGAAGTATTTCCGTGTCGTAATTTATAATTGAACGATTAAATCATGACAGAAATCAATATTAGGTTCCATTCTTTATAGCATGGATACATCACGCGTAAAATTACTAAGACGATACATCGTTCTCGTACAATTTTCAAATCAAGTCACGCATGCGAAGAGTACAATGGCACTTACCCAGGTTCGTAGGGTTTGCACGTGTTTGTATCCTTATCCCATCCGCAGTATGGATCGTGGACGCATCGCAGGCAATTGTCGTATCGTCGCGTGCACATTACCAGATCGATCTGCTTTATCCGGTGATCCGACGCTACGTAAAGAGCCTTATGCTCCTTCGAAATTTCCATGGCTTGTATCGGTTCGCCTGGCGTGACATCGAAAACGTCCAGCAAGATCGACTGGGATTCACCGTTACTGTCGATCCACTGTACCACCTTGTGAACGCGACCATCGCCTATACGCAAAGAGGAACACGTGCTTTACGTATTTTTATATCGAAGGATAAAATAAATGGATGAAATCGCGATCTGTATTCACAGCGCGATGTAGATAGTAGGACGAATACTTACTGGAACCAGCGTAGTAGACGGTGTAATCCAGATCGATACCGACAAAGTCGATGCGAAGCTTATCGACGACCAATCGCGTGAGCATGACGTCCCGCTTGTAGAAGACCGGCTTTTCGTTCTCGTGCGAGATCGCGGAGTCCATGAGAGGATGGGACCTTATGAAATTCAAAACGGTGTCCGGCAACGTTTCCGTGTCGTTGACGCATTGGCCCGGACGCGGTTCCGGAACTTTGTTGGATAAGACTGGTAGCCACGCGCTACTGCTGCTTGCCTGTTCCTTGAACTTTCCGCGGAAAGCTTCTTGAATAGCGTTAATATGAAAGGAACATATCGCGGAGCCCATTAATCCGTTCGTCGATGTAGTGAAGGTGCCGTAAAAATGCGTGTCATCACCTGGTACCTTGTAAATGCTCTCTGAATAACGAAAATACAGTGACGTCAATTATAGACACCATAACAGTCACATAGACAGTGTGTGTGAATATTAAATTAATTAAAATACAAAAAAAATTTGTTATATACTTCCACATATATATTAATATATTTATATAATAATTTGTGATAACAATAACGTGTTATAACATCTCTAAAAGCAAAATTAAATTCTGAGAGTAAAGCAGAAGTAAAAGTAAATTAAATATACTATAACGTAAAATATACACACACAGCTGTGCGAAAATATATTTCGCGTCGCCCACAGTATACCCTGATACTCACGTATCTCGTTGAAATAAAACGGAAACTCGCCGGGTATCGAGCAGTTCAACCTGGCCTTGAGGTACGTGGCCCAATTTTGCGCGAGTATATTTTTACCACCAGTGTCCCTTTTGCAAACTCTCGCCACACGGGAGTACACACTTTTACCGCAGTTGATGTATTCGACCGCGGTCTCGCGGAAAAAGAAGAACACGTGGCTGCCGATGTCATACGCGCCTACGAAGTTCGGCTCTGAAAAAACAGACGAGATGCATTAACGTTAACGTTAGTTTTTTTTTTTAATTTCTTTTTAAAGGCGTCGTAAACTCATTTCGATTCGCGTTCCTCGACATGCGTTCTTTTTTTCGCTGAGTGGCGAATATTTCTCGGTCGCATGTTTCAACGAGTTTATACACACGCTCGTGTATAATCTAGCCGTTAGCATCTGCCTCATTTTCATACGTCAAAATAACTACAGCAGATAGTTCGCGTAGGTAGATAGCTACCTACTCTGCAATAATCGCGCGCAATAATAATCGCGAATCGAGTACTCGCCGCGGGCGGGGCGCGACGATATCCTTGCTCGTTCTGCATAAAAACTTTCATCGCCGGGACTGTGTTTAAACTCCGCTCCAGACATGGGCAATCTCCCCGAATTCCGTTTAACCGCAGGCATTTCGTGCGCAACGATATTATTTTGCAACCGCTTTAGCAGCAAATGGAAGCGCAAAAACGGGGAACACGTAGCGAGATTAGATTGGAAACCATGCGCTTTAATTGTGTTTCCTTGATAAAGACGATTTGAGAAGCAGAATTGGAATGAAAGAATAACTTTGTTGCAAAATTATCTTATAATGATCTCAAAATTCAGTCTCGTTAAATGCATATACAATACCTGAATGAAATCGCAATTTACCAATGTCAAGCTGGGCGAGATGAAAAAACTATAGGCGAGAAAAGAAAGCGAACAACGCATCGAGTCGGCTTTATCATTGCGCCTCGCGTAGTTGAGTTATAAGTTCGGTATCATCTTCGAATGAGATAAGTTGCGCGCGAGAAAGAGTCCGAAATAACTTTGCAACGGTTTCCGAGTTCTTTGCCAACAAACGGCGAGAGGGAGGGGCTCGAGCAACTCGGGGAATATCACGCGACTTTATCACTCGAGTTCGTTAGAAATAATTTATTAAGGATTAATTTAATTATCTTGCTGATTTTCGACGAGCGAGCTCTGATTAATCGCACGGTTATTCGCGTTACTCGCGCCAAAAATACAGTCCGAAAAATCGAGGAAATCGGCCTCGACATGCGAAATCGTCCTTTAATCTTGGCGTAATTGCTTGTTGTGCCGAGGAAACTGATTTATCTCACATAACGGTCGCAGTTGGAGTTCGGTGACGCGAGAAAATGACGAAGGAAATCGAATTTTTCCGCGTTCGAATCGCGCCGCCAGTCAGGCTCTCTTGTCAATTTTACATTATGCGGCGGCGTTCGACTGGAGGCCGCAATCTCTCTCACGGTTCAGCGATTAAATCGATTGTCTGACGCTTTCGACAGCGGAAGTTTGATATATCGAGACGGCACATGTAGAGAGAGATAAAGGGAGGCCAAGAGATCAGCTACGAAGCAAGGGGAATGCAAAATTATTTAGAAACGATAAGCTTCGATTGTTAGTGCATTTCATCACTGATAAAGAACAACATGTAGCGCTATTTGAATTTTAAAAATATACTCCGCAGGAAAAGAGTTCGTTGCAATATACCCCAAAAAAGACTTTAAAGTTAAATGCAGCAAGTTTGAGAAGATGGGCGATGCGCGATAATATTGATAATGACGAAGTGCCATTTCGCACGCGCTGAATTCGCGAAAGTAGACTAGTTCGTCAACTAGTTATTCAGAGCTTGTTAAGAAGTCCATTGCGCGTCTTACTCTTTATTTTTCTTCATCTCCCTTCCATTCACGATTTACCTTCCCGTACCGAGTTTTCCTTATCATGGCCTCGCGCCACGAACCGCATCAGTCTTCATTGCGCTCGCTTTGCCGTCAAGCAGTGACACAAGAAAGAGAAACTACGAGAGCAAAGAAGAAAGAGGAGGAGGAAGGGTCGGCGAATCTTCCTCGCCGTCAAAGACTAGCGTGCGGAGAGAGTTCATCCGTCTCTTCCGAGACTCTCGCCTCCCATTTAATCAACGCTTTTGTTAATAGACAAACTCGATGCGGAGAATGGTCCTTGATGGTGACGCGCTCGCGCTCGGTAGGGCGCTGAACGAAGGTTCCGCTCCGGAGGCGGAGGAATAGTAGGCGGCTGAGACCAAAGATAAGAGAGGGAGGAAGAAAGAGGGTGTGCGTGTGTTAACGAAAGGGCTGCGCTCCGACTCGAAATTAAACGACGAAACAAATGGCTAATCATGCGTCCCGTGGGAGGGTGCGAAGGATACAAAGTAGGACTAAGTTATTCGTCTGCTCTACAGCTTTTGCCGCTCCAGCATACCGCGACCCTACTATACTCAACGACAACGACAACGACGACGAAGACGGTGGCTGAAAGAGCGAACTCGAGTGGTGGCACGCTTCGCCGGAGTGAGGAAAAGCGGAAGCGGCCCCTCTCGAGAAATACAAAGCAGCCGCCTACCGTCCCGCACCATTATTCCGCGTGTCGCGCGCAAATGCTCACCACGGAAAGGATTGCGGTGCGACACAAGGAAGGAGTTAAAATTAACTCTTTTATCCGGGCAAGCCACTTTTCTCCCTCGAGTCGAAAGAGGAAAAAAAAAAGATTTTCGTCGAGATAATTAATAAATTAAAAATTTTGATTTTGAAGAAAATTTCAATATTTCCGACGTACCATAAATTTTTGTTGCAATGAACCACGAATAATATTCGGTACGAAACGTAAAATATTCGTGGAACGAAACTTTTTCTCAACCGTCATTTTTAACATTTTTAACCGTAGTCAGCAGAAGGTTTCGAATAGAGCAGAATTTCGATATTAAACGGCCGTGTAACTAAATTTTCGACGTATTGCTCGTGTCCCGTCACGACTGACGAACCTAACGAATCAGATTCTATTTACACTTGATCATCGCAAATCAGTGCGCTTCGCCCCTACCTCCCGCGAGTTACGCTATTAAATTCCATGTCGGATTGTATGTCTATATTCGACGCACGTCCTAATCTACATTTTCCAATTTCCTTGCCAAGCCGCTCCCGCCTGCCGTGCCCCTCACGTTCGCGCTCCGATAACGAAAAATCGAGAGAATCGCAATAATCTCGACCGACGAATCAGGGAGCCGGTAAAACTGATTAAAGCTCGGCCTGCGCGGGACTCTGGCGAGGGGTGGAAAGGAGAGAAGGGGTTTCCGGCGGACGACGGGAAAACTTTAACTTCTTCTCGGTCGGCTCGCTTTCTCTCCCTTCCCGAGAAAGAGGAGGGTTTACTTCGTCGAGAGCGCAGCGTTTAGGACGAGGCAGATCGCGTCAGGATGTTATTTTATTACCCCGCTCGTGGAGCGAGAAAGAAAGCTAGAGAGAGAGAATCGGGCACCCTCTAGTTTACTTCGATACCTTCATCCCGCTGCCTTTCCGCGCGAGTCCTTCGCGTCGTCGACGACGCAGGCAACGGTACCCTTGGAAAATAGGCGGGGCAGTTTATTCGCATCCATTTGAACCCGAAGCGTGTTCCCGGCTGATGTCTGGGGTCCTACTTCAAAGCACTCTCCGTCTATTTCCCAAACAGCACCCTTCCCGCTCGGTTTCTTCGCGGAAAACCTATTTCGCTTTTTAGCCGATCTAAGCGTCTGTCCCTTCCTCCTGTTAATGCTACGCTCTCTAAGTCTAATGGAAATTTTATTGTTGCTCCGACACGCCGTAATTATTGAGCTTCGAGCAAAGGTTCCTTTATAATGACGTATGGAGTTCCAAGTATTTCTAATAGAACGTAGCGATCAATACCCAGTGAAGTGAAGACAGAATACGGAATATAATTACGAGTTTAAAAGATATTATACTATAGTTCAAATATTAAAGAAAAAAGTATGTATTTATGCAAATCATTAAATATATTATTATCTTTTATAGTAATTTAATATATCGATATTATAATATTGAGTTTAAATACTTTTAGTAATGACATTGTTTGAGAAAGAATACTCACTGTCGAGCCACTTGGAATCGTACTTGAGCGTTCTTTTGAAGCTGAACGCCTTGCGACCGGTAGTCAGATTGTAGAGATCCGTGCGGAAGATTACGGTATCGGCTTTGGTGAACTCGGCATTCGTGCCGGAATAAAGAGCTGGCAAGTCCCCAGGATTGCCCTTCTCGACCCAAACCGCCGTCGAATTGTCCGCAGGATCGTAAGGGCACTTCGCGATACCCATTCCCACTCCCGGAACATACTCGTGACGGGGTAAGTGAGTCAGATTGCTCTGAAAAACATCATTTGGGGAACAAGATTAGATTGGGCACTAATAAGACATTACAGAGGCTAAAAGAAGTAGATTATAGTGCTAAAGAATTTTTTAATCTAAAATTATCAATTTAATATTATTGAAAACTTCAATTTAAACTACTGAGGAATAATAAAATGTTACATAATAAGAAATAGTGTTTAATTAATAAAATAATATAGAAATATATATTAAAATCGATTGAAATTAATAAAAAACTAGCGATAATAAATTAATCTCAATTACATATTGCATAAGTGGGACATGTTAAAGAAATCTTTAGAAAATTTAATCAGACATGGCAAAAATAAGAAATAGATAATAAATGCGTCAGATTTATTTGTAAATATTGTATAATATATAATCCTATATATTATATTTACAACTTTCTCATTTAATATAAAATATCTCTTGAAATAGTCCAACTTTATTTAACAGCCATAATCTGGAGCAACGTAAGCGGCCGGATGTCATTATTACGTGAGATGTTACGACACACTCGAGACCCATAACGTTTGGCGAAGCGAAACTCATGTGTCTTTTCGCGTCGTTAAACACGAGTATTTAAACGTAAGATTCATTCATCTGCTCTAATTACCTTGATATGATACAGAAAATTTTGCAAATTATATCGCATGGATTCCTATACTATCGCGATAACGTATATGAATTTCTTTCTATCAATAATAGCATTATTCATTATAGCTTTAAATATTTCGACGAGAATTAAATTGGAACGTATTATAGAGGAATGCGTGAGTGGCGGTGAAATTTATTCGTAACGCGAAAATTAATTAACGATATTATTTTCAGATGCCTTGTCGTGTTCTGTTATTAATTAATTAAATTAAGCGTAAAGTAGTATAAATCGGCGTGCGTTGCGCACATCGCGCTGCATCCGTAATACGTTTCAAGGGAAGTCGTGAATGTATTTAACATCGTTTTACATTTTCAATTTTCGATAAACAAATGACAGCGCATGTTTAAATGTATATACGTATATTTTTTTCGGCCTTTTCCAATCCAGTCACAAACCGATGCGTATTATAAAATCAAATTTAACGAATTTGTTTAGTATGCATCGGAATTTATAAGATATAAAAGAATGGAATAACAAGTATACGAGAAAAGAGGGAATAATGCGGCAAATATTTGTTTCGATATTCTGCCATGAAAAGAGAAAAATAATTCTTTATATATTATAATTAAAAGTTTATATATACATTTAATTTATATTTATATATATTTAACATAAAAAAAATTAAATAAAGAGCTATCTTACATATTCTAATTTCTCGATTAAAAACAACATGGAAACTTACATAAATCACCCAATCCTTGGGCGCGTGGGCGTTCGTGCCGCATATGTAGAGCCGATTGCCATCTCCCATCGGTTGTATCACCCTTATATGGTTCCGGCAGTCAAAGTGCTGGGGGGAAAAAAAGGTAGAGAGAAGAAAATTAAATTCGGCAGTACGACGTGCGTTTCGGCGACGAGGAGAGAGTCGCAGGAAGTACGGACAACGACAGAGTTGAATATGCTCGTCGCTCCGTCTCTCTCCCTCGCTCTTCGTACTTTTCGGGAAAGCGGGAAAAGCGCGTCGCGATTCCGTCGCGGTCGATCACGTCGCGCGCGTATTTCGCGGCGAATCGGCGGGAAATGAATTGGCTTTGTCGTCACGTAGGGAATATTTGCGTGGACCTTACACCTCAACGACGACGCACACACGATGCATACGAATGAAGCCGTGATAAGCGTACGCGCGTCTATGAGGCGGAACGCGATCGTGCCCGCGTTTTATCACCGTGGCCGCGGTGCGGGATTTCCAAGTACGAGTAAAAATGAACACGGAGGGATTAAAAACGTTTTACGGTTAACGCGAATTTTCGACCGAGATACGGCGAGAATGCGATGAGCGGTGATTTGAAAACTCGTAAATTTTCTATCGTTATTACGATATTTATGCCGCGATAATGGCACTTGTCTAATTGGACGATCCCAATAGAGGTTTATGAAATACGTACGTTAATTCAGAAATTACAACATGGTGCTAGAAGTCATTGCAGATTATTCGCGAGAGACGAGAGCCGCGCAGTGACACCTTTTAGCGATAAAGATACAAACGAGATACGTTCCTTCTCAGATCCGCGACACCGCAATGTCTATTAAAGAGCAAGCTTGCGTCTTTCGTTTCGTCTTTGCGCGCCGTCAAAGAAAATAGTTTTTTATTTTAGCATGTCGGTGCTGGCTCGCGATTCTTTTTCTTCTCGACATTACGTTCGACATCTTTTTCCGTAATCACGATTCTTCCTCGTTTCGTGAGACGCTCGGGCCAGTTTTGCCTCCTCTCCCTCCCCCCTCCTCCCCAGTACCGGAATTAAAATTCTTTTCAAAGAGATGGAGCGAAACCAAACCATGTGAAAAAAAAACCTACCTCCGATTTGCCTTTGGACACGCATTGTGCCACGTTGCTGGGCTCCAGATTCAGGGCATCTCTCTGCAACAAAGAAAAGAAGACATGAATTTAGATTTGCGTGAATAGATTCATTTCCGAACAAATTATTGGTAAGAAAATTTAAAGATATGCTTTTTACACATATGTGTAATATTTTCCGCGATATATGGTCATGTCCTAAATATTTCGTATTGAAAGAGAGTAATGTTTCGAGCGGGGTGTCATAATTATACGCCCCCTTTTGGGGAAAGTGTGCCTCTTGGCAAGTGCGCACTTCTACAGGCAGGCCGCTCGACACGCTCGACCTTACGAGAGGCGTCAAAAGTGCACACTTGACAATTTGCAAGCTCAGCGTGTTGCGCCGTGGCAGCCCCTCGTAACGTAATCAGGAAAGCGCTACAAACGCGTCGGAATAAGGTCAATATTCCGAGAGAAGGATATTCGAGCGAAAATAACAGAACTTCTCTCTTTGCTTTAAAAGGCGCCCCCAGTTGTTTCACGTGCGACACGATATCCTCTACGCTAATCGTGCATGAATGCAACGCGATGTTCCTGCGTCGAAGGGAAATACTTAGAGAAAATTAGTTTCGTAAACGTGAACGTTCGGATCGTGCGGATCGTGTTGATCCCGCCTCTCGTTCGATGCACTTTGTGCATCTATGTCGATAGATGCGATCACAGTCCGTAGAAAGCGATTCGTTTGCACGGCCAATCGGCCGAAACGCGTCGGACTTGATGATCGATCTCCCATGGATGCGTCGCGTGCCACACATCCTCGCGAGTGTCACTGCCAGAAACGACATTGTCCTGGGCTGGAATGTAAGGGCGAGCCAAAACAGCGTTCTCCCCGACGTTGATCTACGACCAATAAATTATCGAAAGAATCGCGGCGCTCTCTCTCTCTTTCCATCTCTTTCTCGCTGAACGAGCTATATCGAGAGCGGACTAAAAAGAGGACGTTAAATCATAACGGTTTCCGCAGGGTACAAACGCATTATATCTGTGCGATTGAAAGCACCAGCTCGAGAAATACTCTCGAGCGCGTGCAATCATTCCGGTGAACCTAACCGAGCGAACGTTATCGATCGTGTGTAGCATCGTTTGTGAATTTACATTCCAAAGCGAATGGACTTCGCATACTCGGCGCCAACTGGTAACGCACTAAACTCCCCCGCATTGCGGAGCAGATAAATATACAATATTGTTTCTACGTACGATTCTAACCGAGGTCGGAAAGTCACATCCCGTGCACAATTTGTCGAATAGAATGTACATTGGCGGGAATCCAGGGGACGCGATTGAAGTGGATACGACGAACGAGCATGATTTGCCTCGGCGCACACGATATATCTATGCACGCTCGCAATATTCCGAACGAGCTTGGAGTGGCCCATTATAAACATAATCCACTTACAAACAATGTACCGCAGTCTACTTTACGCAAGTAGCTCGCGACTGCGACCGGTAACTTCGATTCGCGAGTTTCCGATGAACGCGTGTGCCACGAAACAATAACGGACTACTCGCTTCTATTCCGTCTCGCTCGCGCTTGTATTGTCCTCTTTAATTTAACGAGCTACTGATTTGTATATTCGAATAACTACTTCGTCGTCTGTCTCCGATTGTTCGCCCGAGAAGATTCGCGATTGGTTCGCGCGAATTCCATCTAGGAAAAGCGTTAAAATCATTTAACGATCCGTGCTCTTCCCATCCACGGGGGCATTATTGATATAACGTATTACTCGTTAAGCATCGTGGTATATTAAGAGGTCGATTGTACACAGCAGGTAGCTTGGCGGTAATTAAAAGCGAAGCAATTCCCGGTATCCGCGCTTATCCGTGTTCCAGCGCGGATCTTCTCGTTATACTAATCATCGCAACCCGACCGTGAACCCGGAACGGAGATAGGAGCGCGAAGAAAATAGCGGAAAGGGGTGGCGGATGGGGAGAATCTTTGCGGAAGAAATGAAAGCGAGAAGAGACAGAGAGAGCTTTTCCCTATGCGTTCCTCCTACATACACAAGTACAATACATTGATATTTAAACGTGCCAACTGACGACAGAAACTGACGACAGAATCGTATAGGATTATGATTTCGGGCATGTGAGTTTTTAAGCGTTCGCTTTTAGTTAAATACAATATATTATTCGATAATGCGTGTCGTCAATAATGACGAAATCGTAAAACATGATTCAAATTATTAATTAGATTTTCGACTAAATTTTGTGATTAAATTAATCGGTAATTAATTCAATCAAATGACAAAATTGCCTGCAGCAAAATTTCTAATTACATAATTCATATCTTTTTAAATTTAATCTTTTTTTCTATTTGTCGAATAACAAAAAGTTAATGATTCCGTCTACACATTGATAAAAATTAAATTGCAGCGGTTCTCAATCAAAGAAGAAATCGCCGAAAAATTGTTCGAAAAAAAAAACATGTGTATATATTTTTTTCTTCCGCGAGTTGTTCAGCGAATAGGTACAGCTGTCGGCGGTAATATTATCACTACGTCGCGATGCATCATTTTATCTGCACTGCCTACGATGCCATTAACTTTATAGCACCAGCGTGTCTGCCAGCATGCAAACACCTCGACTTCCATTACCGGTGATGATATGATACACCGACTATTAAATAAAAATATCTCCCGTCATCTCGCCGATGTCCTACTCTAAAACTTTAGGAATCTGATTGTCGCACGGATTTTGCTCTTCTTTCGCCATTTCTCTTTTCTCATTTTTGCAACAGATTTAAAACGTCACACATTTTCTTCTCTTATATCTTCAGTTTTATCTTAATTGGAGATTATAAAAGCGTCAAAATTTCAATATTTCTTCAATCAGAAAATTGATAAATCAATCAAGTAAAGTCTTAAGGCAATATTTTAAGCAGATATGAAATCAGTTCCATTTTAACACTCTTTGTTTGCCGCGTTCAGATCAATGGAGAAAGGTCATGTGTTTCTTCCATTCAAAAGCATACGAGTCGCTGATTTGTATGCAATAGAGACTTTCAGACAGTATTCGGACGGAGTTGATTAAATTCGTGATTACGATGATGATATCAACATAGAAATGTTCAAAAGTTGTCATCGCTCGCGCGCGAACTCGCTCCCTCGCCCACCCGTCCCTTCTTTTTCTTTATTCCGCTCCGGGTTTAATCATCGTCGCGACTCGCGTTGAAAATTCCTATGTACGAGTGTATGCATTTCTGCAGCATGCTAAAAGCGGCTTGCGGGTGATTAGTTTCCTCGAAACGAAAGTGCACTCTGTACATCCGTGTCTTTGTCGTTGTCGCCACTGATTTTCGCCTTTCCATCCCTGCTGCTTTCAGTGATAGTTCGCTGAATGATTACGAACATGGTATTAAAAGCACGCAAATGGATTATAATTATCCTCAAAAATGATTGTTACTTTGAGATCCGACGTGAATTATTGAATTAAATTCTTAATTCATTTTAACGAAAAAGAATTGTGCGCGTTTTTTCCCCTCTAATATATGCGAGCGTGTGATTCTGGAGAAGCTGTTCTCGCTTTTTTTAATAATAAAAGAAAACACACCCCTCGTACATGCATATTTAGGATTACTTTCTTTCCAAGAGCAAATAGAAAAACATTGACGCGGATCAACGTTCTTGCCAACATCGGGGTGGTCTGAGGAAGGACAAGATGGAGAAAGTGGAAGATCAGTGTATGCAAGGAAAAGGTATAATTTACCGCGCTAAAATATTAAAGGCAGAAGACTACTGTGGCATCCCCCCAGGGTATCGACACCCCCTAACCTCGGAAATTCGGAGAACGTAACGGTACCTGCGGCTCCTTTAAAAATTTACGAGTCGAGGCCACCGCGGCGCTTTTTATCTCATCAAATAGTAATGTCGGGCATTGGACCGTTAAGAGACGAGATCCCCTCAGACTCTCCTGATCACGTGCCACGACTATACTGTCGTAGTATCGGAGAAAAAAGAATATCTCTTATCATATTTTCGATTCAAATCATTTAAAAAAAGACTTTTTTTTCATATATAATTTTTCCTTCCATCTGATTTTTTCATCCGACAAATATGTTTTACGGAAAGATGGTAAAAGAAAATTTCAACGATACGACCACTTGAATGAAATGTATAAAGAATGAATATCCTTGTGATAAATTCATGAAGAAATGACGTATGATGTATTGTCGACCAAGCATCATATTATCTCTTTCACGTCGAGCGATGTCTACATCTTTGATTCGCAGTCGTGTCAGATGATAACCTTTGTTACGCATAAAATTTTCGCGAACCGGCCTGACATTTCAGCAGGACGAAAAGTGCCTTTCGTTGTCGATCGGCACCGTAAGTCACTTTTTCCTAATGGAAACCGTCACTTGGCACCTTCTCGCTCTCTCGCGGCCCCGCACGGCTGGAGACGCGCGGCAGGGGGAAAAAGAGGGAAGGAGTGAGAGAGCCCGGGATTCAATCTGCATTCAATATTGATTCCAATCCGATATCGTGGATTTCCATTTTTGTGATTTACTTCTTACGCCGACAGCACTGGCTGGTACTATCTGTAGTACGAAAGAGGGTGTTTTTCGAGGGTCAACCCCAATGCATACCGATGTCGCGTCGTTATCGATCAAATTTTTCAAACGATAAATAACCTTGTCTCGATGATGATACTCACTCGTGATTCTCTCGATGCGCATCGACGGCTGAGCGATCGACTTCCAGCAGAAAGCTTTTCGGTTATTCGTATCAATTACGGTAAGCCAATGAACTAGAAGGAATTCCTTAACGATCAAAGTTCCAACACGACGAGAAGTTGGCGGAAGACGTAACTTCCATCCGGAGATAAGAAATTATCGATCTGATTTTCATCCTGGCGCGAACTATGGTATAATATGCTTTGTTAAATCGTTCAGAATAGCTCAATAAGATAGCTGGAACAGATCTGCTTTTGCATTTTATCATCTTATTACCTATTTATATCACTGTGCCGCGAACAATTTCAGCGAGAGCTCGTTTAATCCGCGATTTTACAACCGCGCAAGTAAC